TTTGGCCCCATTTTGGCCTTCTGAGGGGGCAGCGCTCATTAAAGCTCCCCTCTTCCTTCAAGGCACAATCATTGATTTTACGAAGGTTTTGGGCTCATTTTGCCCTTCTGAGGGGGCAGCGCTTCTTAAAGCTTCCCTCTTCTTGGATCCATCCCCTCCAAGATGGCCCCAAGAAGCGCCCAGGAGGCACCAAGAGGCCCCAAGATGGCCCCAAGAGGCCCCCAGGAGGACCCCAAGAGGCCTCCAAGAGGCCCCCAAGATGCCCCCAAGAGGTCCCCAAGAGGCCCCAAGAGGCTCCCCCGGGGCACCCAAGACGCTCCTGGAAGCCCCTAAGGCCGCCAAGAGGCCCCCAAGACGCCCCAAACGGCCTCCAAGAGGCTCCCAAGAGGCCCGAAGAGGCTCCCCCAAGGCACCCTTGACGCTCCTAGAAGCCCCTGGGGCCGCCAAGAGGCCCCCAAGACGCCCCAAAAGGGGACGAGGTGCCCGAACGCCTCACGCCACGAGGAGCCCGAACGACTCACACCAGGACGAGGGGCCCGAACGACTCACACCACGAAGAGCCCGAACGACTCACACCAGAAGGAGGGGCCCGAACGACTCACACCAGGACGAGGCGCCCGAACGACTCACACCACGAGGAGCCCGAACGACTCACACCACGACGAGGGCCCCGAACGACTCACACCACAAGGAGCCCGAACGAGTCACACCAGGAGGAGGGGCCCGAACGACTCACACCAGGACGAGGGGCCCGAACAACTCACACCACGAGACGCCCGAACGACTCACACCAGGACGAAGACGCCGAACGACTCACACCACGAAGAGCCCGAACGACTCACACCAGGAAGAAGGGCCCGAACGACTCACACCAGGACGAGAAACCCCAAACGACTCAAACCAGGAGGAGCGTTTTCTCTCCCTCCTCCTCCGCCTCGTCCTTCTCCCGCTCCCCCCACAAGGAGGATGTACAAGGAGGCGGGAGGAAGGAGGAACAGGGGAGATATGCGGGGGCAAGCGGACACATGCCTGAAAAACACGGCTGTCGGCATGCTTCGCATGAGTTGCTGTTGTGAGATGGGCTGGTGGGGATACGCGAAGCGTAAAGAATTTGTACAGCAGTGGGATGAAGGCGATCGGTCTGTAGTTTTGCGGTAGCTTGGGGTCCCCAGATGTGTATATCACCGTTATCGTCGTTCTCTTCCATTGTGTGGGTGATGGGTGGTTTGGCTTGATAATGTCGTTGTAAAGCTGAAGTAAGTGCGATTCAATGGCGGTTCCCCCCGCTTTGGGAAGTTCGGCTGTGAGTCCTGCAGTGTCGCTGCACTTGCCGCTTTTCAGTTGCTTGATTGCATGTCGAAGCTCTTTTGGTGTGAGTGGTGGTATGCTCGAGTCTGTTGCCGTGTCGGTTTTGCTAGAAATGTCGCTGTCGTCCTGCGGTATTTTATAGAGTTGCTCGTAAAAGGTGGCGAAGACGTCTGCGATGCTCTGTCTGCCAGTTGTTTCGTCGCCGTTTGTGGTTGACATTGACGCGATCATGTTTTTTCTTGGACGTTTTCGTGCCCGCGATTCTCTTGAGGTTTTTGAACTGGCACACAATGGTTTCAATCCTGGCGTTTTCCCGGACGCGCTTGATGGTTCGAAGCTGTTTCAAAATGAGTTTGCTCAGTGTACTCCTGGTGGTTGTGTCGGTATGCGGTGTGCTGCACCGTCGGTCAATGAGGTCGCGCAGCTTATTGTTTGATGTGACGTCGTCTTCGTGTGCTTGGTGTCGCGGTGAACTGTTGTGGTACTCATGGTAGTCGCCGTGAGCTTGGACAAGGGCTTTGGTGATGTGATTGCTCCTGTCGTCAGTGCTGGCTGCGACGTCGTGGGCGTCGAGTCTGTGCTGTAGGTAGTGCTGGTACAGTGGATCGGCAGCAGGTGGGCGCGTAGACCGATGATTGGATCGTTTTGTTCGCTTTTTCCGCTTCTTCTCCGGCGTGGCGTCGAAAACAAGCCTCATACATACCGCTTGGTGGTCGGACCCGAAGTCTGGAATAGCTGTTGCAAACGAGTCATGCACCTGGTTGCGACGATCTTTGTCGATGAGTATGTAGTCAATCTGTGTTTGGGTATGGTTTTCCCCATTGCTGGTATAAGTGAAAACGTTGCGGTCATGCTTGTAGAACAACGTGTTGGTGATAAGCATCTTCTGTGAAGTTGACCATGCCCGTAGCCACGTCCCACATGTTGCACGCTTCGATTCCGTGTGGGCCAACTGTGAGTCTCCGGCCTCTGTTGGCATTCTCTTCCTCGTCCGCGTTGATGGGATGTTTGCCAACCTGTGCGTTGAAGTCTCCAGTGATGATTGTGGTGCGCTTCTGCTTGGCGGCTTCGTCGTGGATCGCGGTCAGGACGTCGTACATATGCTGGACGTGAGCGTCGGGGTACCCGCAGTGTGGGAAATAAGCCGTCGCAACTCTCACCTTGCAGGCGGATGTGTCGAGGTCGATGTAGGCGATGCGCTCGTTGATGCGTGTGAAGCATGTGATGCTGTGCACGTGCCGTCGGTGGATAAGATTTGCTACGCCTCTTGATGTGGTGGTGTGGCCCGCTGCCGCAAATACGTGGGAGAACAACTTCGTTGTCCACATCTCTCGTTCTGTCGTCCTCCAAGTTTCATTTATTGCCACGATGTCCCATGCCATGGTCTCCAATTCGCAAATCAGCGTGTCGATGGAGTCGTCTGTGGAGAGGCTTCTCGCGTTTTTGTGGATGACGGTGAACTGGAAGCGACTGGAGTCGGCGCATTGGTTTCCGAGATCTTGTTGAAGCTGTCTTTGCTCTTCTCGCACTGTCAGTCTGGCAGAAGAGCTGGAGTCGGAACCTTCCAACCTGGATGCCGGTGTCGTGCATCGCCGGCGCAAGATGCATGCTGGGACGTCGCCAGAAACGTCGCTGTAGGCACGTTTTCCTCCTCCTCTTCCTCTTCCACCTTCCCCACTGTTGGGTAAGACGTTTGTTTGGGCTGCGCGAGACGTTGTACAGCTGGTTGTTGAAGGCTGGAGGTCAGCGTGCTGAGCTGCTGGGAGCTGGAGGTCAATAGGTGGAGGTGGGAGTGGAGAGTCGAAAGCTGATCGTTGAGGGTCAGAGTGCACTGGTGGAAGCTGTAGGTCGATAGGTGGAGGTGGGAGTGGAGAGTCGGAGGCTAGACGTTGGGGTCGGAGCGACATGGTGGAGGCTGTAGGTCAGTAGGTGGAGGTGGGAGTGGAGAGTCGGAAAGTGGACATTGAGGGTCAGAGTGAACTGGTGGAGGCTGTAGGTCGATAGGTGGAGGTGGGAGTGGAGAGTCGAAAGCTGGACGTTGAGGGTCAGAGTGAACTGCTGGCAGCTGTAGGTCGATAGGTGGAGGTGGGAGTGGAGAGCCGAAAGCTGGATGTTGAGGGTCAGAGTGAACTGGTGGAAGCTGTAGGTCGATGGGTGGAGGTGGGAGTGGAGAGTCGAAAGCTGGACGTTGAGGGTCAGAGTGAACTGGTGGAGGCTGTAGGTCAATGGGCGGAGGTGGGAGTGGAGAGTCGAAAGCTGGACGTTGAGGGTCAGAATGAACTGGTGGAAGATGTAGGTCGATAGGTGGAGGTGGGAGTGGAGAGTCGGAAGCAGGAGGAGGAGGAGGAGGAAGAAGAGGGCGATATACTTTCCCGCAGAAACAGTAACGTCGGACGCCTGGGGTCGCCCGAGCGCCAGGAGCAAAGGGCCCCGCGCGGCCGGAGCAGCCGCGCCCGGCCTGCCCGCGCGGCGCGCGGCGTCGAGGCCCCGGGCCGCGCTGCACGGCGCAACCGCCACACGGCACGACACCCTCAGGCGCCCTAAGGGAGGGGGTCCAAAGATGGGCAAATGTTCCATCACCACCACCGCATGTGGGACGTTTTTTTTTTCAACGGCAAAAAGCAGCCCGCGTCGGGCGTGGCCAACACGAGCACCACGAAGATGAGGAAGACCACCGTGAGGTGAATTAACTGCACCACGCCCTCGTCAACGCCATACTCGAGCGAAGGTATAGCGACGACCACCCCGTGCATAACGCAATGTTGGACAATGTTGGACGGGGGAGCAGGAAGGATGAGGAGGTCCTCCTCCTCCTCCTCCTCCCTCCTCCTCCTCCTCCCCCTCTCCTCCTCCTCCTCCTCCTCCTCCTCCTCCTCCTCCCTCCTCTCCTCCTCCTCCTCCTCCTCCTCCTCCTCCTCCTCCTCCTCCTCCTCCTCCTCCTCCTCCTCCTCCTCCTCCTCCCCCTCCTCCTCCTCCTCCCCCTCTCCTCCTCCTTTTACTCCCGCGCCGTCTCTTGCGCCGTTGAAGTCGACCCTCGCTCGAGGCTGCGTGCCTCAGAGGTGTCGACAGGCCTGTGCCCCAACTGAGGAGCGTGAATTGCAATCAGAAATTGTCATGAGTGATCTCCATTTGGGTCGAACTTACCGATTCCCAGAATCCCGTGTAAAGCCGTAGGCACGTCAGTCTGACAGTGGCGGATTCCATGGACTCGTCTCGTCTCTCTCTTTGTACTCCTCCCATCCAATACCTGCTCCTCCCGTCAAAGACCTGTGGTAGTGGCGTTGGAAAATGGGCTCATCACTCAGGGAGGGTGCCCTAAGTTCCTCGGCCACGGCCGATGCGCGGGCTCCCACTCGAGGCCCCGGGGCTACCGCTGGGCGCGACTTTATGAAGGGGCGATGAAGGGGGGGGGAGAGAGGTGCCCTCCGTTCGGGCCCTGGAGGCCCCCTTCTGGGCCCTAGAGAGCCCCTTTTCGGCAGCACTCGCTGCCCCGCCATGCAGCGTCCTCCCATTACGCGTCCTCCGATCCCGAACGAGCCCCCGACCGCCGGCTAGGAGCATCTCGCGGCCAGAGCCGAAGTCTCGCCGTCCAGTGTCTGGGGCTGCGTCCGAGATTCGATGCGAGCTCCTCTGGGAGGGATCAGGCAGGCGTGGGCCGACAGAAAGAGTGTGCGCTTCATATTCCCACGCGCCGTCTTCTCCCTGGTTGTTCCTGGTCACGGCGATGAGGTGGGCTAAGCGATAGTTGCTCCTCCCTCCGGCCAAATCGCTCCACAACCCCCCGAGGCTAGCCCCGCGCTGCGCTTCAGGTTCTGCATCCGACAACTCTATCCCATTCAGACCGTCTCCCATCCGAACTCAGCATGTCTGGACTGCTATGCTCGCTCGCATCCATGCTACATGCAGAAATAAACAGCAACAACAACATTGTAAGACTGATCGTTCTTCCTGACTCGCGTGACATGCAACGTGAATATCCGGAGCCCTCGATCCCCGCCCTCTTCGTCTTCGACCGTGACCCCTTTGGGAATAGATCTTCCTTGCCGGCCGCGTGTGTGTAGCGCAGCCCCCACAAAACGGGAAGGGATGAGGGAGGGAAGAGAGAATGGGGAAGGGAGAAGGATGGAGCACGAGAGAGATTAGCAGGAGAGGGGGCCAGGAGCAGGAGTACAAGCGGCAAAACCAGACGGGCAGATCGGGCGGGCGAACCCTATCGGGTCGAGCGGGCGGGTCGCTCAAGCGTCGATCAAACACGACTCGAAGGAAGTGTCGAGCGATAATCTGGAAGGGATCCAAAACGAGGGCGCTGATCTGGAGTGTTCGGGGCACGGCACCGCAATGAATCGTAAGGAAGTCACACTGGAGAGCGCCAGTCCTACATAAACTGTGAGGACCTCCCGATCGAGGGTCCGACTTTGTAATACATTGTGAGGGGAAAGGTGAAGCGGGAGCCATTCTTGTTGTAGTTCGGGGGCCCCACAACACATTCTGTCTGCCTTGTACACAAAAGTGCGAGCCCCGGGAGGAACACATTAATCGAACAAACAAGAAATGGGCACAGAGCATGGGTGATGAAGAATAACACTTCTTAGACACGAGAATTCAACAACAATAATTTCATGACTGTTCATTCTTGTCTGCTCGCGTGCCACTCAGCGCGTATATCCCGAACCCTCGATACCCTACCGCAGCCCCTAAAAAAGGATGGAGAACGAGAGGGACTAGCAGGAGGGGGGCTAGGAGCAGAAAACAGGTGGCAGAACCAGACTGTCACATCGGGCGGATAGACCCTGACGGGCGGGTCGGGAAGGCGGGCGCAGGCGGCCTCGTCGAGCAGACGGGTCGCTGAAGCGTCAATCCAACATGAATCGCAAGGATATCTCGAGCGACAACGCGATTCCCAAGTACATTGTGGGAAAGGCCGGAGCGAGAGCATGATTCATGAGTGACAACGCGCGGCGTCTGAATATATAGCAAGGAAGAGCAACGCGAGGGCGCGATTTCTGGATACCTTGTGAGGAAGTCCTGCGCAAGAGCCCACTTTTGAATACATTGTGGTGGCGCATCAGGCGGGAACCGTTGTTGTTATCGTAAATGAGGAACCAGCGAACCAATCTGACGCGCAAGACTTCCCCTTGTAAAAAACAGCGTGCGAGCCCTTGGAGGAGCATTTAATTGAAAACACACGGTGGGCACCAGAAGTGGGATCAACATCAATTTTCCGCCAGCCCTGTCGGCGTGTGGAAGACGCTCTTCCGTTGGTCGCCGTAGTCGTCGTCGTGTCGTCTCCTCGTCGTCTCCGCCTCCATCGTGTAGTCCCCGTCAATCGTCGTCTCCGTCGTCCCATCCTTAAGCGCGCCAGCCAAAGCGACATTGAGCAACGTCGTAGCTGAGTCGAATGGGAGCCCGTTCCCGTTGATCCTGTCCCCGCTGGGGGGGGGTCCTGGGGGGGGGTCACGGGGGGTGGGTCGCCACCCAGATACGCAACCCCCCCCGGGCGGTTCCGGGGCCCAGAAAAGCCCCAACACACGACAAGAGTGCCCAAAGAGGCCCCCAAGACAGTTCTCGAGGGCCCCGAATCGCCGAACTATCGGTCTAAGACGCCAAAGTGGCCCCCAGACGGCTCAAGAGGTTTTCAAAACGCCCCATGAGGCCTCAATGAGCACTCCCAAGAGGGTCCCAATGGGCAAACATCGCAGATTGCCCTAAGTTGTTGCAAGATGTTGGCGCTCTCGCCTTGTCGGCTTCCCGACGCTCCAAGACAGCCCAAGCGGCCCCCAAGATCGCCCAACAGGCCTTCAAGAGGGCCCCAAAACGAGTCAAGAGCCTCCAAGACAGCTCCCAAGAGGCCCCCAAGACGGCTCCAAGAGGGAGCCCAGACGGGGGACCCGAACGGACATTTCGAGCCCTCGGCCTGAGAGGCTCCCAGGAGGCCCCCAGACGCCCCAAAAAAAACCTAAAGCGGCCCGCAACAGACCCCCAGGAAGCCCCAAGAGGCCCACATGAGGCTCCAAACAGGCCCCCAAGAGCCTGCCAAGAAGCAAGACTACCTCAAAGAGGCTCCCGAGAAAGCTCGTCGTCGTGGTCGTCGTCGACGTCGTCGTCGTCGGTGGTGACGTTTCCGTCGTCGTCGTCGTCGTCGTCGTCGTCGTCGTCGAAGTCGTCGCTGGAGTCGGAGTCGTCGTCGTCCCCGTCGTCGGAGTCGTCGTCGTCCCCGTCGTCGTCGTCGTCGTCGTCGTCGTCGTCGTCGTCGTCGTCCAGGGTCAGCGGCACGGTCCGTAAGGCCTCTCCAATTCTTCAGAAACGAGAATTCAACCACGACACACGTGGACATAGTGCAGACTGTATGCGCTCACATGCGGACACGCATGCGAAACAAGAGGCGGAGTAGAAGACTCAACAACGAAGCCAACGACATAGAGAAGATGGGCAACGCACAAGCCCAGGTCGCAAGCGTAATCTGGGCACGAGGTCGTCGGCACCATCATCGACGTCATCGTTATGACCATCGCATAAGCTCGATACACGATGCCGCCACCGCATAGCCATGCTCAACCCTACGTAACCTTGTTCCTTCCGCCCTCTATTCATACCACTCCTATGAACACTTGAACCAAGTCTGCCTCCTCAAACGTATGCCCATTTGCTATTGCACCTTCGCGCTCCTGAATATCGTGCTGAATACAGTGATAAGGACGCAAGGCGGACACGGAGACCGAGCGAGAAGCCCACCAGCGCTCCAGGCGGAGGTGGATTAGTGGGTTCCCTCTTCCACCTTCCTGGTCAAGCCCTTCTCCTTACCCTCTCCCCTAGAATCTGGCCCCCCCCCCTCCACCAGACCCTCCCCCGCTCCACCCTCCACCCCCCCTCCATCACCCCTCCCCTTCCACCCCCCTTCCACCCTCCCCTTTCCACTCCCCCTCCACCCTCCCTCCACCCCCCCTCCGCCCCATCGCCCCCGCCCTCCGCCACACTCCACCCCCTCCGGAATCCAACGGGAGCCCCGAGAAAACGCTGTGCTCACCCTTGTCGCCCCCCCTGTTCTACGAACGCGTTCTGTCCGCGTCCTCTTTCCCAAGCTCGGTTTCGTTTTCTTGCCTTGATTCACTGAATTTCCCGACGCTTCACTGATCAACTCGCCTGGGCCGCGTTGCTGGACGGGCTGGTGGGGATACGCGAAGCGTCAAGAAGATGAGGAAGAGCGGAAGAGAGGAGGTGAAGGAGAGCCGAGCGAGGAGGGGATGCCGCCCACATGGGGCCAAAGCTCCGCACCGCACCGCCAGAGCATGCTCGATGCATTAAAAGAAAGATCGGGCTCCAGATCACGTAGCCTCGGGGATGTGTCTCGATCCTCCGGCCCCATTCGGCTATGGCCTCATCAGGGCCGCGTCGAGACGACAGGAGACAATTGAGCGACAACCAAAAAACGGGCCTTACGCGAGATGGAGTAGCGACCTTACGCTGTGGCTAACGCGGGCCGCCGGCGCGGCACGCTGCGTTGGATACGAGGCCGCTGGCTTACGCGCGGCCTTACGCGGGCAGCTCACGCGACAATGTCGGCGAAGACGAACCCGCTTCTTTTTGCGTCGCCCGATTGGCATGACACAAACCGGTCCTGAGGGACACGGGCCCCAGCTCTTCCTCCCGAGCCGTTGCCTGACGATCCTGGCGCTGTCAGGCTTTCGGGCAGTAGCAACTCAGGCCCACGAGGGCCGATGGGAAGAATCCTGGTTCCCTGGGAACGCTCTCGAGAAGGCGCCGTGGTTGGAGGCCGTCCCGAGGCGGAAAAGACTTCCAGGAACCGACGGAGACGCCCGACAGCCCCCGAGGGACCCGTTTCCCGCGCACGTGCTGCCCGAACGGGTGGAGGGGGAATTGAAGGTAGAGGAGGAGGAGGAGGAGGAGGAGGAGGAGGATTTTTTTTGCCCCGCAAGGTAAAACTCAAACCTGTTTATCCATGGAGGAAGCTGGCGGCCTCCTCCTCAGCCTCAAGGTCAAGCTCTGGAGCAAACGGCTCCTTGGCCTGTCCCTGAATCCCATGGAGGGGCTCCTGAGCAGATCGCTGCTGCTCTGGAGCCCTCAAAACATGATCCTGAAAACCAGCCGCCTCCTCTCGTGCTGCTATCCGCTGCCTCAACTTCTCCAGTCCTGGGATTAAACTGCTGCCTGGAAGATCATCGGATGGGCGCTGAAACCACACAGCACGCTGGGGGCGCTGTTGGGTATCCGGAAGCCTCTGACGCTCCGCATCACTCAAGATATGGAGCACAACACCTGGGGCAGCTCGATTGGACTGGGGGTGCAGACCACGGAGCATACGATTGAGGCGGCACTTACTCGCAAAGGATACTACATATCCACGACACTGCTTTTCCAATTGGTGGCTGAGACGTTCTGTGCTGTAGGCGCCACACCGCCTGCAAAATACAAGATTGGGACCTGACGACAGCCGTGTATAGACCAGGTCGTGTCCGAGCGTCGGGCGAGCGAGGAAAGAGAAATTCTGTTTCCCTCCAGGGCACCCCGACATATCAAGTGAAGCCGCATTCGTACCTGTACGACGTGCATGACAATCATGACAGATGAAAGAGCCAGGTGCGCCAGGCACTGCCGTCCAGGCATGCCAACGGTGCGCGCCCGTACTTCTTGGCCGAGGAACCTTCTCACGCTCAGGGAACTGGGACGACGGGAAGAGGGGCAGCACACAGCCCATCACCCGAGCCACAGCACGGACCTTGCCCATCGTGGCGTTCAATTCATCCCAGGAAGCTTGAGGTTCCTGGGCGTGCATCGCAAGAGCTTCCTTCGCAAATCGATCCGCTAGAAAGTTAGCTCTCGCGATCCTCCGCTCATCTTGCGGAAGGTTATAAATTACCTCCATACTGCGGTGGGCAGGGGTGTGGGTGCAGGGGCCGACGTTTTTCGATCCCTCTATCTCCCAAAAAACCCCACGACGCCCCGCATACTTATTTCTGGAGGAGACTTGCTGGACAGCTGGCATGTTATGGTACCTCACAGGACCCAAACAATCGGACCACACGTTTATCTGGTGAGCCAGTTGTCCAGTATAAAAACTTATCGCAACGATTCCCATGTGCTCAGCCGCCTGAGGAGTCTGAGGGGGACTGGGCCATACCGGCCCTCGGAAGCGTGCAACTACCTCCTCAATGCCAGCCCGAAGGAAAACTCCAGCAAAGGATGCTCGAGCAAGATCGCGAATCTGAGGCCTCGTACACGACCCATCGACAACGACATCACTCACGCCTTCCAGAATCGCAAAGTCCTGCACTACATTCCCCTGCGGATCTAAAAGCTCTGGATAGATCATGTCTGTAGGGGGTTGGAAGGTGAGGGAGGGGTGAAGGGAAGCGAGGCGGGTCCAGAAGGGGTGGAGCGGGCCAGCCTGCACGGCTTCCTGGACGTGCTCTGGGTCACAAGCCTGGGACCTGGCTTCCTCAACCTGGGGGCAGGGACAAGTCCAGAGCCTGTGAAACACACTGTCGGGGCCTCCACATAGCGGGCATAGTCAACTATCAATCTGAAGCCGATCCGATGTGAACACCGCCTTACAAAAACAACTAGCTACAGCATACTTCTGACGTGGCGTGTACTTCTTAGACCTACACACAATATTGCGCACGATATCAGTGCACACGCGTGCATGCTCAAAATTGTCTAAGCTTGAAGCCATGTCACACTCATGCGTACGTTGAACTGCATCTCTCAGCATACCTCTAATCATATTCGGGGCCGTGCACATGAGCAATATTTCTACTCCTCGATCATCCTCCCAATGTGCGAAGTTGCGAGCCTTCCAAGCCACACGCCTGAGAGAGAGAGAGGAGCATTCGAGACATGGGTCCGCGTGTATGTCGCCAACGATGGCGGGGCTCCATTCTCTCATGCACGGTGGTGTACGTATTGTGAAGCTCGCGGGTACTGAATAGAGAGCGCTCTGGTGCAACCAAGGCCTGACAGAGTGCCACTGACCAGGACACTGCAGGAGCAACACATACGTGGGCCATTGGATCGCCGTGGAGCACCATCTTTGCCAGCAAGGAACCACCTCGATGTGAGGGCGAGCGAAAACTCAGCAGCGTAGCTCGAGCTCGCTGCAACTCGTAGTCTGACATGCCGAGAACAGAACTGCCATACGCCAGTGCTGGCGTGAGGCCACCCTGATGAATAATTGCCATACGGTGCTTACCATGAGAGAGCCATTTCCGAAATCGAAGAACTCGCGAATGACGAAGGCGAAACTGACGAAACCGTTCTCGACGCTTCCGAAGAGCCCCTTTTACTTGCCCTGATCTGAGCTGGCGTAAAATCGACCCCGAGATTCACGGACGAGTGCGTGATGGTACCAGCAGGGAGCCCTCGGAGCTGTAATTGACAAGCTAGGGCCCGAGCTAACTCTGGGGAGCTCGAAATCGTGATAGCTTTGGTCTCCGAAATGTCAGCCTTAAGTTGATCTCGAAACGTGTGATAGAAATCTTCAGCAGCATCTGGAACCAGCTTGAGCAGCGTAGCCCGATCACCCGTAGCCATTATCGTGTCATCATCGATGTAGCTCGAGAGTCGAATGGGAGCAGGGAACCGAGCCGTAAAGTCGTCGAAGGCTCTTATGGCGTACACCTTTACGAAAGCATCATTGAAAATGTCTCCTGCAGGGAGGCCGCTTTCTGCAAAGAGAGCGACAGGATGAAAGGCGGGTCCTAGCCTTACCAGCCGCGGAGAACGCCACAAATTGAACATCGTTTTGACTATGACCCCAGGTATGCCCCATCGTAATGCTCGCTGCCGAAGGAGATCCAACCGAAATGATTCATAGTATGTCTTACCGTCCCACTGGACCCCCAAGACAATCTTGTCATCAGCGGCAGCTATCTCCCCAAGGGCCGACTGGGCCCAAACGCAGGATTCAGCACTCTTCCCAGAACCGAAGGCCCAGTAAGCTCTCTCCGCGGCGGCAAAGAATCTGTCCAGCAGTGGTCGGCGAAGCCGTTCCCATACGCGCACAAAGCTGGCCAGCAACAGGATAGCACGATGCCCCCCTGCTGGCTTCTCAATAAGAGGGAAGACCATCCAGAGGAAATGCCGAGGAAAGAGACCGAGACGTTCCACTCCTTCAAATAGGACGCTCAGGGTCTCCAATCCAGCATCGCCAAGCAAACATATGTGCTTCGGGTGGAAGCCGTCAAGCGTAGACGAAGTGAACTGGCAGAGGAGGAGGAGGAGCAGGAGGAGGAGGAAGAGGAGGGAGAGGAGGAGGAGTAAGAGGGAGAGGGGGAAGGAGGTGCAAGCTCCGCCGGAAGGCCAATCACCCACCCCCATGATGTAGAGAAACCCAGCCCAGAGTACCCCCCTCGACCCTCCTGAGCCGTCGAGTTGGCTTCGTGGCGAGACAGGCAGGCCCCTCAGAACGTGTGTCAGCGCCAACGTGCGTTCGTCTACCGAAGCCCTTCGATACGACGCAGGCGGTGCAAGTGAGGGCCGACACGAAGCCACCTGGCACCGGCGGAGCGGAACGGGCCAAACACTTGTTTTGCGTCGGCGGCTAGGCAGAGGAACTGTGCTGGCGGAAGAGCAAGCGGAACGGGGGCACACGGGGAAAGAGAGAGAGAGAGAGAGGGAGAGGGAAAACGAGGGAGAACGGGGAGAGAGAGAGAGGGAAAACGGGGAGGGCGAGGGAGCAGTGCAAGAGAGAGAACGAGGGAGCAGTGCAAGAGAGAGAGAGGGAAAAACGGGGAGGGCGAGCGGCCGCAGGGGGGGAGCACGATGCAAGGGGCCGCGAGCGGGGCAGACTTTCTTGATCCGCGGGTCGAGAGCGCACCTCTCCCGGTCGAGGCTAAAAGCGGGCCGCACACGGCTCTAGTTGACAGAGGGGGGAAGGCAGGAGGAGGGGCCTCACGTCAAGGCCAAGGGAGGGCAAAGCCCCGGAATCTGGCGGTGCCGAAGACGATGGCGAACGGGGCAAACACACATTGGGCTAACACACGTCCTGGGGACCGTCGAGACAGGCAGGCCCCTCCCGCATCGCCTCCCGGCCGGGCGCGGGCAGATCTTCACGCGGACCTTCCCGGGTCCAGCCTCGGGCGCCGCGGAGCTCTTGGTCCTCTCGGGCCTCCCGCGGGTGGGGGGGGGGGGCGGAGGCAGGGCCTGTGCGTCCAGGAAGAGGGGGGGGCCGCCTCCACGTTCCTCGTTCCTCCTCCTCCTCCTCGTTCCTCCTCCTCCTTCGTCTTCTTCTCAATCACCATCATCCTCGATTATCATCAGCATCATCATCATCAGCAGCAGCATCAGCATCAAGATCATCAGCATCAGCAGCATCAGCATCAGCATCATCTTCATCAACAGCATCAGCAGCACAATCATCAACATTATCAGCATCAACAGCATCATCATCAGCATCATCATCATCATCATCATCATCATCATCATCATCATCATCATCATCATCATCATCACCATCATCATCTCATCATCATCATCATCATCATCAGCAGCAGCAGCATCAGCATTATTATCATCGTCATCGGCAGCATCAGCATCATCAGTAGCAGCAGCATCATCAGCATCAATATCCTCCTCATCGTCATTATCAGCAGCAACAGCAGCATCAACATCAGCATCGTCAGCATCATCAGCAGCAGCAGTTGCAGCAGAATCAGCATGATAACCATCATCAGCATCATCAGCATTATGATCATCAGCATCATCAATAGCACCCACACAAACAACCTCATCATCAGCATCATCAGCATCATCATCATCATCATCGTCATCATCATCATCATCATCCTCATCATCATCATCATCAGCATCGTCATCATCATCAGCATCATCATCAGCATCGTCGTTATCACCATCACCACCACAATCATCGCTAGCATCATCAGCATCATCATCACCAGTATCATCACCTGTCACCACCACTATCACCATCACCATCACCATCATCAGCATCATGGTCACCATCATCATTACCATCATCATCAGCATCAGCATCAATGTAGTCATCATCAGCAGCAGCATCATCATCAGCAGCATCAGCATCAGCATCAGCATCAGCATCAGCATCAGCATCATCATCATCATCGTCATCATCATGATCATCATCATCAGCATCATCACCATCACCATCATCAATTGATTCATCATACGCTGCATGGCTGGTTCAAGATGCTTTCCTGACCTGCACAACCAGTGGAGACCTCTGATCCGAGGCCAGTCTGTAATCTCTCTCACGTAGGCGGTAACGGTCGAGCTGCGCGCTGCACTTATGTGCCCTTGTTTCAGAACGACCACACTGCGCGCTGCTCCGTGTTCTCAGTCCGTACAGCGATGCAAAGAAAAAAGGCACTGCAAGGCTGGCCTTCATGCCTCGGGCAAGCCGTTCCTCAAATTCGCTCGGAATGCGAAGTGCTTCACGCGCAAGCGGCCCAAGTCAGCGGCGTTCGGCCCATGGGAGAAGGAGAAATCGCCCTCGGTCACCGTCCGCCGCGGCACAGGCTCGGGTTAGTTAACACCCTGGGCTCGCGACTCGGCAGTATCGAAGCTGCAGCAGAAGATGCAGACTCTATGGGAACAGCGCTCTATACACCGACGTTTTTGTGCGGCCCTGCACGGACCTTTGCGCAAGAAAGCGGAGCCTGGTGTATACGGGACCCTGGTGTATACAATTTTTCGTTGCCTCCCCGGGAAAATGGGGAAACAAGTACACACTACACCAACCCGACGTCGTCCCCGACCCTCAAAAAGTCCTGGGATTGGAAGACGGCCCGCCACTGGTAATGTTTGTGGATGCCATGACATGTGACACTCCAACCAGCCTATCATTGAATTAAAGATGTGTTTAAAACGTTTGAAACATGTTTTGCACATGTTTGAAACATCTTATAGACATCTGGAAATTATGTGGCAGCACACTTCCTCTCCATCGCTCGACTTCCACAAGGTAATGTCTAGGCTCCCGTTTCCGAGACTCGGCTGCAGCAGCAGGCCAAGCTCATGCAGCAGCTCGGCTGCAGCAGGCTGCCAAAGGCACGGCAGCAGCTCGGCAGCTCGGCCGCAGCAGGCTGCAGGACAGCAGACTACCCCAAGGCGCACGGGCGGCCGCCTGCCATCAGCCTGGAGGAGGAGGCCGACGGCCCGGCGCACGTCGCCCTCGGCATGCCAGCGACTGCAGGCCATCAGAACGAACAACACACACACACACACCCATACCCATAAGGGGGTCGTTGGGAGGAGGACTGGCTATGGGTATGGGTGCGGGTTGTCGGACCCTAGGGAACGCTCCCGTTCGAGCGGGGACCCCCATCCGACAACACGCACCCATGGCCCTTTCCGACCACCTATGGGTATGGGTGTGTGTGTTGTTGGTTCATCAATCAGGCAGGAGCCGATCCGCACCAGGAGCATCAGTTGGGACGCACAAAGGCATACCAGTACTATACGTCCTCCTTGGAGGCGCGCGCCCGACCCGAACATATATAATATACCCACCTTGTAGTATTATATCCTTTCCCGAGCGGCGTGGCCGGACAGCGCCGGCAACGACGCATGCACTATGAGATTTCTCGGTGCGCGCGACGCCCCTGGAGGGGCGCCGCACATGTAGTAGAAGTATGTTGGCGTGACGCCGATCAGTGGCGCGGCGGCCGAATCCGTCGCTGTGGCGCTCCCTGCGGAGCAGAAGCTTCAGCTGTCCATCCGTGCCCTGCAGCCGCTCGGCCAGCAGATGCGGGCGGTGCTGCAGGGCTGCGCCAGCTCGAGACACGCGAGCACGGCCTGCAAGAGGCCTCCTCGGGCGTCACGGCGACGCGGGCCAAGCTGGACGAGGTCCAAGCGGACCTGGCCGAGGGTGAGAAGCTCGTCACCGACACGACGGCCCAACTCGCAGAGCTCAAGAGGCACATGGCCAACTTGGCAGCCGCGGCGCCGCCGCCAGCAGCCTGCGAGGCTCCCCACGCAACCCAACGCGCGGCCGGCTTCGGCACGACGAAGCTGGAGGAGGGGCTCCTTCGCCTTGGAGCCACCATGCCCGAAGGCACCACGGTGGTGCGGCAGCTGGCGCAGCTGCTCCATGAGTGCGCGGGGCAGCACGTGGTGCGAGTGGTTCCTGCGCCAGCGCCTGCTCCCATGCAGGAGCCGCAGGAACCTGCGCAGCCTACGCAGCCCGCGCAGCCGCGCAGCCTGCCGCTGGAGGCAGGAGCCGTGGCGGCAGCAGCCACGCAGGCGGGGGCACTCGCCGCAGTACACGCCGCCGGCGCAGAGGGCCTCGTGTTCGAGCCCAGCGAGATGCGATGGCGACTTCAGCAAGTTGGGGCTGCAGTCCCAGATTGAAGGGGAACTGGGACACAAATAAATAGACACAAATAACCAGACTCCCCATATTTTCCCATATTTTCTGGGCTTCTGTCTTCCCCCCCACTTCCAATGTTTTCGTATCTTTTCTGGGGAATCGACGGTTAATTGTGTCTGTGTTTTTTCCCCTCCTGAGAGAGCCCGACTCGGATGTGCAGTGGGAGTTCGCTCGCATGCGGGCGACAGTCCTCGCACAAGGTCGCCCACTCGGGCAGCCTGCGACCTTCACGCCTTCTTAAGGTCCGCCACCGGGGTGGCGGCGGCGGGCGGGGCTCTGGGGCGACAGGGCCACAGCGCCAGAACCTGAAATCCCTGGCCACTGCATCGCGAGGCGGTCAAGGAGGGAGGAGGGAGGAGGGAGGAGGGAGGAGGGAGGAGGGGAGGAGGAGGAGGAGGACGAGGAGGAGGAGGAGGAGGAGGAGGAGGGAGGAGGGAGGAGAGGAGGAGGAGGGAGGAGGAGGGTAGGAGAGGAGGAAGGAGGAGGAGGAGGAGGAGGAGGAGGAGGAGGGAGAAGGGGGAAGGGGGGAGGAGGAGGAGGAGGAGGAGGAGGAGAGGGAGGAGGAGGAGGGAGGAGGAGGAGGAGGGAGGAGGAGGAGGAGGAAGGGGGAGCTGGCTCTCCGAGCCCTGCGGTTGAGGCGGGGCTGCGCCCCTCCTCAGCTCTGCAGAGCGGCGACGCGGAGCTGCAGCGCCCAGCCCTCCAGCCGGACGAGCCGCTGCCCCGCGCGCTGCGCCCCTTCGGACAGGGGGCCCGCGGGCCACCGGCGGGAGCAGCGGCGGCACGTGTGCGGGGGCACGGGCCCGCACGGCGGCCCCGAGGGGTGCAGGGGCAGGGCGCAGGAGGCTCGCTGCGCGGCGGCGGCGGCGAGGCGGCCGGGAGGGCAGGAGAGCCCCTGCTCGAATCGACGACGGGGGGGGCCCAAAAATAGACACCACCACCTCCTCCTCCTCCTCCTCCTCCTCCTCCTCCTCCTCCGCCTCCTCCGCCTCCTCCGCCTCCTCCGCCTCCTCCGCCTCCGCCTCCGCCTCCTCCTCCTCCTCCTCCTCCTGCTCCTCCTCCTCCTCTTCCTCCTCGTCCACTTCCCTCACCCCGTCCCTCTCCCAGGAAAGAGGAAGGGAAGAGGAGGGTAGGTGAGAGAGGGGGAATCGACGTGGTGGTGGTGTATATCCTTTGGGTCCCCAAGAGAAGTCGGATCGGCGATCGAAATGAGTGGGATCGGTGGAAGTCGGCAGCGGAGTCGGGACAAGTCGAATCGACAGAGATCGGCAGGCCAGCATACCTCCAAGAAGAAATCAGAGCCCGAATCGCAGTCCCAAGTCGGATCGAATCGGCCTCGGAGGCAATCGAAATCGAAATGAATCGAACCGGGGCAATCGAAATCGAATCGAAGTGAAGCGCCTCTGCTGGCCGCTGGCTGGCACGCGGCCCCGCTCGGCGCACGGGACTTGAGCAGGGACCGACCGTCCCGGCAAGTCTATAGTCCTACCACGGAATGTTCTTAGAGCCCAAAAATGTTCTAAGAACAATAACACATGTTGTTGGAACAGAAACCCGATGTGATAAAACAAGACAGACCCCGCCAGAAACGTTCTGAGGAGAACATTTCCTGGACACCACCAAAGGTTCGTAGAGCATTGCTTGGTAGGGCTATAGGCGAGCCAGGACGCGTCGCCGCTACTTGAGGGACCTCCTCGGCGCGCGGCCGCGTCTCGGGTCGGGCGAAAGGGGGGGATAGCAAAGGGGGGGGTTGAGAATCAGCTCACGTAGCTGACTTTCCCGGCGCCTCCTGGCGCCGGAGGCGGCCATGTATCGAGGAACGGGCCCCTCGGCGAGGCCGAAACCAGCTGCATGCAGCAACTTTCGTAACCCCCCCTTTCCCAATCCCTCCCTTTCGCCCGGCCCGATTGAGGGACCTCCTCGGCGCACGGCCGCGTCGGGCGCCGGCGTCGTGCTCGCCGACCGCCGCGCCGGCTTCGGCCGGGCGGCCGAGGCGGAGGAGCGGCGCGCTGCCCGCTTCCAGTTGCGGCGGGGGCTCATCACGATTTCTGAGGGGGAGGGTGGGGTTCACTTCGTTCGGGAGCTCCTGAGCGAAGTGAACCCCACCCTCCCCCTCAGAAATCGTGGGGGGTAGGGGTAGGGTTCGCGTGTGGTCACTTAGGAAGCGCCAACTGCCAGGGCCTGGGTGGATCCTCCTCTCGGCGGTAGACAAACCTCCCTTTAGCAAACCTCCCTGTAATGAGAACGGCCTGGGACCGAAACCGACGGGCCTGGACCCGCAAAGATGACGGCCGCGACGCCCTCTCGCGAACCGAAAACGGCCAACTCTGAAGGGGCCCTGGGACACACATAGAAATACAAACGAATGAAAGGATTCCCCATATCTTCCTGTATTTTCTCGGTTTTTGTTGTCTTCCCCCCCCCCACTTCCCATAGTTTACCCCCTGTGTGTGTATTCTTTCCCTCCTGAAATTCACTAACTCGACGTGTCAGGGCAGGAGGTCTGTCCACCCCCGATCCTCCCTGGAGGGGGCGGCGGCGGCGAGCGCGCTCGCGCGCGGGCCTCGGGCCGGACTGCCTCTCGGCGGAGCCTGCCGGGAAGGGGGGGGGGGCGGCGCGGCCGCGGGGGTCGCCGCAGCTGCGGCCGGCGGGGGGCCTCAATGCGGGCAGTATTTATGTCCATATCCAGAGCGTCGTGGACTTTTTGAAAAGAGGTGCCGCAACGCCGAGGCACACCGGATATGGATAAAATCAAGCCTCTTGGGGCCAGATTTTTATCCATATCCAGTGCGTCTACGGTTTCTGGGGAAGAGAGCCCAAGAATCCAAGACGCACTGGATGTGGATAGAACTATTGCCCGCTCTCAAGACCACGGGAGGGCGCGCCAGGGAAGAGCTCGGTGGCCGACTGCCTACCAGACCACCCCAAACCGACCCGAAGACCCGAAGAATTTGAATCGAGTTTCGGGTTGTGGGGGAGGGTACGGGTTCGGTGTGATTTTACAGTGCCGGAAGAGGCTCGCTCTCGACCCGCAGACCAAAAAGTGTTTTTACAGTGCTCCTAGACCCCACCCCCCACTGGAAATGGAGGGCAGATTGTAGCCTTCGGTTGGGTTGGGGTGGTTTGGTGGGTGGCGAGTGGCAACTCATGGTAGCCTCCCAAGCCGTCTTGTCGGCTCTTGCGAATCGATGCTAGTCGGCGCTGAATCGACGCCAAATCGGCGCTATCTCATCCACTCCCAGACGCTAATCGACGCCAGTCGACGCTTATCGACACTAAAGGAGGAATTGAGATGGTACAAGGCACCAATGACTTGCTACCGAAGATGAATACCTCATCTCCTGACACAGAGACACGAGTGTTTTGCTCCAAGGCCGGCTGCTCCAACTCAGCGAGGGTCGCAGCAGGACGCGCCGAAGAGTGACTGTACCGACTCTGCGTCGATCGGGACGCAGCCACCAAAACGGTTGACAAACACACACACACACACACACACAAACACACACACACATACACACACACACACACACACACGCACGCACGCACGCACGCACGCACGCACACAGACACACACACACACACACACACACACACACACGCGCACGCACACACGAACGCACACAGACACACACACACACACACACGCGCGCACGCACGCACGCACGCACACAGACACACCCACACACAAACACAACACACACACACACACGCACGCACGCACGCACACGCACACGCACACGCACACGCACACGCATACGCACTCGCACTCGCACAGGCACACACACACACAAGACACACACACACACACAAGACACCCACACACACACACACAAAGGCAAACACACACGCGCACACACACACAAAGACAGGACAACATCATGAATCATTGACTCCCCACCCAAGGCCTCTCCCTGGCGGAGCGCGGACCCCCTCCTCCTTTTGTTTTCAGAGCGGAGCACCCCAAAGAAATGGCACGGCTCTCATGGACCGGCGTCATGGGCCGGCGTCCAGTCCTGAGCCGCTGTCTGCCACCCCCGAGACCCCGAGAGCGGCTCTCCGAGCCCAACGATGGCGCAGAATAGAAGAACACCAAGCCGCCACGGCTCGGGTCGATACACTGATGGTCTGGGCAGCTCCTCCTCCCCCTCCCCCTCCTCCTCCTCCTCCTCCCTCCTCCTCCTCCTCCTCCTCTCCTCCTCCTCCTCCTCCTCCTCCTCCTCCAGCTCCTCCCCCCCCCCCCAAAAAAAGAGGCGCGCGGGCGGCCGGGAGGCGGACAGCGGCCGCCAGGGGGTGCGACGCGGTGCTCCCGAGGAGCAGGCGGACGCAGGATTCCCTCATTGAAGGGGCCCAGGGACACACAAATAAATACACACAAATAAAGATGCTCCCCACTGCCCATATTTTCCCATATTTTCTGGGGAATCGACGATTGATTGTGTCTGTGTGTTTTTTTCCCTCTTGACTCATTCCTTCCCCTCATCCTCGCTGTCGCTGTCCCAGGCTTGGGTCGGTGGACTGGCGCCCTGCGCCTCTTCCTCCCCCTCCGCCCCACTGCCTTGGCCCGGTGTGCAGTCGGACTGCTGCCTTTCGCCGCCGGGCGTCCAACCTGCAGAGTCTGCCGCAGGATGCTGTCTGCGCCCCCCCCCCTCCTTGGCCAGCTGTTCGGGTGCTGCCAAGGGCGCTCCTGGCTCAGGGTGTCCCCGGGACTCCCGAGGAGGCCCAGCTGGCCCTCGGAGCACCCACACGAGGCCCCGACGGCCCCACGGGAGGCAGGAGGACCAGAGAGGTGCCACCGACACCTCCGCCCCCCACGGACCTGTCCAGGGGTGCGCGCCGACCACAAGAGCTTCTGGGTAGGCCCAGCCGTGGCGGCGAGGGAAGGGCAGCGGCAATTCTCAGTATGCCTCCTCCCCTTCTGAAATCCCACCAGCCCTCTGGGCGTAGGTGGTCTAGAACAGATCCTCTTCCACCCCTCCCTCTTCCCCCTTGGGGAGGGGTTTACCCCTCCCCCTACCCCCTCCCCTGGACCTGGACGGGGGGGGCCGCGGGTAGTTAGAGCGTCCAAGATGGCCCAAGACGGCTCCAAGAGCGCCTCAGAGAACCCAAGATGAGCTCCAAGATGGCTCAAGATAGCGCAAGATCGCTCACGATGGCTCCTAAGATGGTTCCAAGAAGCCCAAAGACGGCCCCAAGATAACTCCAAGTGGCCAAACAGCTCCCCAAGGAGGCCCCGAAGAGGCCAAAATCGTCCCAAAACCTAAGGAAAATCAATGATTTTTGCTTTCTCGCCTTTTCGCTTCCGATGGCCATCCGAGGCCTGGAGATGGCTCCAAGATGGCCCAAGAGGGCCCCAAGAGAGCCCCAAAAGAGCCCCAAGACGGCCCCAAGAGCGCCCAAGAGCACTCCAAGAGCGTTCCAAGAGGGGTCCAAGAGGCGATTTTAGGGGCTTCCGAGGGGGGACGCTAATTAAACCCCCCCTCTTGTTTGATCGACTCCCTCCAAGATGGCCCCAAAAGCGCCCCGAAGGCTCCCCAGAGCGCCTCAAGAGGGTCCCAAGAGGCGCCCAAGATGCCCCAAGGCGCCCAAAAAGCCCTCCAAGAGGCCCTCAAAAGACCCCCAAGAAGCTCCTTCCCCTCCTCCTCCTCCTCCTCCGATTCTTCCTCCTTCTCCGTCCTCCTCCTCCTCCTCCTCCTCCTCCTCTTCCCCCTCCTCCTCCTCCTCCTCCTCCTCCGACGACGACGACGACGACGACGACTCCTCTTCCATCCTCCCCCTCTCGGGGTCTGTGACAGCTTCCCCCGCCCTTTGTTATTCTGCATGCTCCCCGACTTCCCTGATCACCTCAACTCCCCTGAGCATCGTTTCTGGATGGGCTGGTGGGGATACGCGAAGCGTCAACAATTGAAAGAGGAAAGGACACCGTAAACACAAACTGTTGGCGTTCCGCGCGGAGTTGATCTGCGCGGGGGCCCCCCTCCGTGGCGAGGAGCGCGCCAGGGGCGGTGCCGGAGGCGCCGCCAAAGGGGGGCCCAGCGCAGATCCAAGAACTCCGCGCGGAGCGCAAAAAAAAATCGGTTTATGGCGTGTTCCTCTCCTTCGATGGGAAGTGCTCCAGAGCTGTGCGAGAAGCTGGAGACACCTGGAGCCAGGAGCGCTTCTGGCGAGCGCCGGAATGCCAAGACGCTTCCTTCTGCCTGCCTTCCTGCCTGCTGGCGACGGGCTGCGTCACCGGGTGCGGGGCGGCGGCGGCGCTGCGCAGGCAAGGAAGCGCCAGGCCAGCATGCCGACGCAATGTGTGCCAGGAACGGCGGCGGCGGCGGCGGCGCCCTCCCCAGACATCCGACGCTTTGATTCGTTGTTCCACGGCGCAGCTCCTCCGACGCCTGGACCCCCTGCCCGGGGACCGGCGCTGAGCCCTGGGTCCCAAGTCGTGCCCTGCCCCGACCCCGCCCCTGGACCCGCGGCAAGGGTCCTAGGAGGGCGACTACCAAAAGACCGTCCTCCTCTATTCCTTCGCGACGCGAGGGCCAGCGCTGCATCCTGGGTTCCAGGTCGTGTTCTGACCGCCTTGGGACCCGGCAAGGGTCCTGGGAGGCCGATTGCCAAAAGACCGTCCGTCACCAGGGGGAGTTCATGGGACGCAGAAGGACATGCGCACTAGAGTATGCTGCTTGCTTCTGCTGCAGGCGCACGCCCAGCCGAAACCTACAGTACAGAAGTGTCGCAGCACATCGTTACCCAAGCGGCCTGGCAGATGTTTCAGTGCGCGCGCCGTCCCCGCGGAAGCGGCGCACACGTCGTGCAGGCAGACCTGAGTCTGCCCGATGCCTTGGTGGTTCCCCGAGAAGCCCCAGCCCTTTCCCCAGGGCCGGCTGCTCATCCTGGGTCGTGTATGCTGACGGCCACGGGGCCCGGCGAGGGCCCCCCGGATGCTCACACTACCCACAACAGAACACTCGGCACTGCACTGTTCACGGAGGACGGCGACTAAAAGAAGTCCAGGGGACGTGTTCACGCGACGGCGCCTGGAGTGATGTTTAGAGGGGGCCACATGCGAACCCTACCCCTACCCCCAACGATTTCTGAGGCGGAGGGTGGGGTTCACTTCGCTCGGGAGCTCCCGAAAGAAGTGAACCCCACCCTCCGGGTAGGGGTAGGGTTCGCATGTGGTCCCCTACAAGCCTCGTCAAAAATATCAAGACATGGAAATTGAAATCCTGGTGCACGATCCTGTCGGGCACTTGTCAGAAAGCGCGTTCTTCAATGCTGAGAGGGCGGGGTCGGTTTGGGTCGGTGTTTGAACAACACCGCGTCCGAGTCAGCGGGAATCCGTCAGCATTGGAGTAGCGCTGACCCCACAATCACCGAATCCCACCAGCCCTTTGGGCGTGAGTGGTTTAGCGATCTTTCTCTGTCCTCAACCCCCCAACCCCCCTTCTTCCCCTTCGGGGAGGGGTTTACTCCTCCCCCTACCCCCTCCCCCTGGGCCTGGAGAGGGAGTTTCGCGGGTCGTTGGAGGGGTCTTTTTCGACTCCTGGGAGGGCCAAAAAACGACGACCCTCACGAGGATTCTGGCCCCGACGGGGGGACGC